CTGTGGCTACATTTATAACTAGAATAATCTGAACTAAAGTCACGCTTTTCTTATAGTGCCCCTATTCTGCGGGTATGAAAATTGTATAATATCAAAGGTCAAAATATTGATGATTTGAAATTAGTTAAATGTGCATTGTGGATATATCTTATATATATAATTCTAGTTATAAGAGCTTGCAACTAATTAAATATAATTTTATATTATTTCTAAAATATGCATTCATTCCAAAATCTATTTTTTTCAATTAACGAAGAATGTACTGACGGTTACTATGGACACAATTGTAATGTCAGATGTGGTAATTGTCGAGAAGGATTCTGTGACAAGATAAACGGAAGATGTTCATCTGGTTGTAAACGGAATTGGAAGGAACCTTTGTGTCAAGGTAGAATGTGAACAGTATCTTGTAAAATGTATTTAATGATGTGTAGCGTGTTTAATTAGTATACCTGCGCTGTCTTACTTCTAAATCTTCTTTTTATTTCGTACTTTAAAAAAAAGGAGACGTGTTTTTCAATAGCTATGTCAATTTAACTTATGGAACATTACAATGATTCAATGATGATTTTTAAAAAAAAGTTTAACTATGAATTTAATCTCATGTGTAAAGAAAGAGACCGGTTGGCAGGGAATATTCACTCTTACATGGCACCTGATCCCGCCTTATATTTTGGAATTTATTTTCTCTGCTCTCTATAAATTGTTAACAAATTAAAGTCTAAAATTACTTTTATTGTTTCCATTTTGATGGTATGAAAATTGCATGATGTCAATACTCAGAATCTTGTGTTATATTATCATGAATGGATTTTGTTTGCAATTTTGATATCACTTGTGCGTAACATAATTTAAATATAAGAGCGTTAGATACATGAGAAAATTAAACGAAAAATGTATACTTACATGTACATTATCTTTAGAATATGACCTCAATTGAAATAACAACCCAACTTTCATTTTATTGTAGAATGTGCTGATGGTTACTATGGCAAGAATTGTACTAACCAATGCGGGCATTGTCTTAATGGATTCTGTGACAAGATAAATGGAAGTTGTTCATCTGGTTGTAAATTGAACTGGAATGAACCTTTGTGTCAAGGTAGATGTTGAACGGTATAATGTTTCTAGTGTAATGTGCTAATGTTGTCTTGTGTTTTAAAAAATGTATATCTGTTCTGACTTAGTTTCAAGAATTTTTTTATATTGCCCTTTGAAAAAAAAATATATTTGTTTCTTCTTTAAACCCTTTTCCCTTTTTGTCAACATAAATAAAAACAACGCATTATGTAGTAATGGATTTATTTGTACCAATCTTAGGTGTTAATGAATAATAATAATAATAACTAGTGCTAATTGTAACGGGGACCGTTACAGATGTTCCCCAAACGCTCCCCAACTACCTTTTGGTGCCATATTCCCTGTAAGCTTCATTAAATAGGACAAAATCTATGCATTTGAGACTTTAACAACGCCAAGCTCATCCAAATTTTAGCATTGCATGCGTGCGCATGTGAATGCATGTGCGTAATGACCATATCATCTTGTCTACACAATCTTTATATTTTTAATATACTAAATATAAATGTATTTAATCCAAAAGTATTAAAAAATACGCTCATTCAAGTGTATTTTTGATTTATCTCATTTCATGCGCACGTATGTGCATACATGAGCATGGTGACCATATCTTCTTGAAGAAGTCCTTTACATCTATCTATGTTCTAAATCCCACCTCGTTTGGTTGAAAACCAAGGGAAAAATTGCTGTTTAAAGTTTCAGCCAATCAGATTACAGCGCACGTAAACGCACGTGTATGCATGTGCATGGTGACCATACCGTCTTGTAGAAATTCATTATATCTAATCTATGTTCCAAATTCCATCCTGTTTGTTTGAAAACCAAGGGAGTTATAGCTATTTAAAGTTTAAGCCAATCAAATTGCAGCACACGTGCATGCACGTGTTTTCATGATAATTGCTATATATCGTGTTGTAGGATATCTGAATGCATGGCTATGTTAAAAATTTCATAGGATTTCGTCGAAAGACAAGAAAGATATAGAGACTTTAATTTCAGCCAATCAGAGCGAAGCGCACGTGCATACACGTGAGATCTTACTTTTTTGACCATGTCATCTTGTCTATACTACTAATATATCCTTACATTATGAGTTTCAAAAGATTTCATCAAAAAATAGAAAAGTTACGGCTATATCCATTATATTGGTCATTTCACGTGTTGCACGTGCGCGCTCTTGCAAGCACGTGCGCTCAAAATGGCATGTTGACAATGTCATCTTATCTACATTTATAATATGTCTATATATTCTAAATATCAAAGCATGACATCAAAAAATGTAAAAGTTACGGTAATTTCATGTATATTGGTCATTTCACGTGTTGCACGTGCGCGCTCTTGCTAGCACGTGCGCGAAAAATGACCTTTGTTCCGCATATCTACATATCATGCCTACTTATCCTAAAAAGGTTTCCCCTTAATCGGATGTGTACTTTACAAGATCATTCGCGGACAAAATTTTCCCAAGAAGAAAAATAACTAGATGAGATCTCGTTGCGAGCAACGAGTAGGTCTTCCGTCGAATTTCTCGATAAGATGAGATGTGATTTTGACTGAGATATTCGTTAAAAGAGAATGACAATAAGTTTTCCTTCATTAATTTTAAAGTTTCTGTTTTTTATCACGATATTTTGAACATCTTTTGTTCAATATGGTTTATAAAAATACTCCCTTTTTTCGAGACGTAAAGCATAAAAAATATATCATTTTGGCCCCTTGTAACCACTTCTTACGTAAGATATGATCAAAATTGTATCATATATTGTTGCAAATCGTTAAGATAAATACTTTTGCTTCTGTAATGTATAACAAAATATTGATCATTAGAGAGTTATAGAAAAAGATTTTGGCCCCTCTGAGCCCCTAATTTGTGGGGTCAGCCCCATTTTCTTGATATCAATTGAAAGGTCTTGTGATTTTGAAGATTTTTTGTTCAACACTTATTCAGAGATTTCTATTCGTTGTGGAGATATGCTAAATGTAAATATTTAGGGGCCACTCCTACTAGTCCTTAATGGGGCCGTTTTACAAAAATTCAAAGTATGCATATTGTTTAGAACATTATTCTGACCATCTTTTGTTCAATATCCCTTATCAAAATAGTCCCCCTTTTCGAAATATAAAGCGTCAAAGATTTAACATTCTGGCCCCTTCTGACCCCTAATTACGTAACATTTGATCAAAATTGTATCATATATTGTTGCAAATCGTTAAGATAAATACTTTTGCTTCTGTAATGTATAACAAAATATTGATCATTAGAGAGTTATAGATAAAAGACTTTTGGCCCCTCTGAGCCCCTAATTTGAGGAGTCAGCCGCTTTTTCTTGATATCAAATGAAAGGTCTTGTGATTTTGAAGATTTTTTGGTCAACACTTATTCAAGGATTTCTATTCGTTGTGGAGATATGCTAAATGTAAATATTTAGGGGCCACTCCTATTAGTCCTTAATGGGGCCGTTTTACAAAAATTCAAAGTATGCATATTGTTTAGAACATTATTCTGACAATCTTTTGTTCAATATTGCTTATCAAAATATTCGCCCTTTTCGAGATATAAAGCGTCAAAGATTTGACATTCTGGCCCCTTGTGACCCCTAATTACGTAACATTTGATCAAAATTGTATCATATATTGTTGCAAATCGTTAAGATAAATACTTTTGCTTCTGTAATGTATAACAAAATATTGATCATTAGAGAGTTATAGATAAAAGACTTTTGGCCCCTCTGAGCCCCTAATTTGAGGAGTCAGCCCCATTTTCTTGATATCAAATGAAAGATCTTGTGATTTTGAAGATTTTTTGTTCAACACTTATTCAGAGATTTCTATTCGTTGTGGAGATATGCTAAATGTAAATATTTAGGGGCCACTCCTACTAGTCCTTAATGGGGCCGTTTTACAAAAATTCAAAGTATGCATATTGTTAAGAACATTATTCTGACCATCTTTTGTTCAATATTGCTTATCAAAATATTCGCCCTTTTCGAGATATAAAGCGTCAAAGATTTGACATTCTGGCCCCTTGTGACCCCTAATTACGTAACATTTGATCAAAATTGTATCATATATTGTTGCAAATCGTTAAGATGAATACTTTTGCTTCTGTAATGTATAACAAAATATTGATCGTTAGAGAGTTTTAGATAAAAGACTATTGGCCCCTCTGAGCCCCTAATTTGAGGAGTCAGCCCCATTTTCTTGATATCAAATGAAAGGTCTTCTGATTTTGAAGATTTTTTGTTCAACACTTATTCAGAGATTTCTATTCGTTGTGGAGATATGCTAAATGTAAATATTTAGGGGCCACTCCTACTAGTCCTTAATGGGTCCGTTTTACAAAAATTCAACGTATGCACATTGTTTAGAACATTATTCTGACAATCTTTTGTTCAATATTGCTTATCAAAATATTCGCCCTTTTCGAGATATAAAGCGTCAAAGATTTGACATTCTGGCCCTTTCTGACCCCTAATTACGCAAGATATGCCCAAAATTTTATAATATGTAGTTCCAAATGGTCTAAAATTAAATAATATCGAAAAATCGAGCAGAAAAAATGATAAAATTTTTTGGTCACACGGGGGATCGAACCCGGGTCGCCCGCGTGACAATCCAACGCGCTAACCATTTGGCCATTAGGATCGCCGCTTCGCGTTTTCAAATGCAAATATCTCGAGATTGGCTTTATCGATTTTCAAAAAAATTACATATTTGGCTTCAGAAAAAGGTCTCTATTCAATCCTAAAATAAAAATATTAAAAAAGAAAAGTTGAAAAATTGCGTTTTTTTAATTCGCTTCCGGTATCGACCGGAAGTACTGACGACGCATGAAAAGGCGATTCTGCAACGCTATAGATCATGAACTATCATCTCCAATTAACCTTCAGTTCATATCATAAGCAGTTTTCGCTACTAAATCAAGACAAAATTGCATTTTAAAATTAGAAAATCCTCCATATCTCACGACCGGAAGTGATGTCATAAAAACGCTTAAAAACCTATCAAGATCGTTTAATGATCTAATACATATGCAAATTTCATGTAAATCGACCGAGCCGTTTCTGAGAAATCGCGTGCACAAAAATCAGTTGGAAAAAAAATAATAATAATAGGGAAAAAGAAACCGAAGAATAACAAGAAGGTCTTCCGTTGGAGACGGAAGACCTTAATAATAACTAGATGAGATCTCGTTGCGAGCAACGAGTAGGTCTTCCGTCCGATATTTCGATGAGATGAGATATGATTTTGACTATGATCTTTGTTACAAAATAATTATATCAAAACCTCTCTCACTTGATTAAATTGTTTTGATTTATTCAACAATATCAAATACTTATAGATGAAAGTGATTTGGCCCCTAATTTTAGGGACAGGCCCCTTTTTCTGGACTTCAAATGAAAGGTCTCGGGATTTTGAAGACATTTTGTTCAGCGCCTATTCACATATTTCTTTTCGTTGAAGTTATATCTTGAATGATAATATTTATTGGCCACCTCTCCAAGTCCTTAAAGGGGCCAGTTTTCAAAAATTCAAAGTATCCATATTGTTAAGAACATTAAACCTACCATCTTTTGTTCAATATTGCTTATTAAAATATTCCCCCTTTTCGAGATATAAAGCATCAAAGAATTAATATTCTGGCCCCTTGTGACCCCTAATTACGTAACATATGATCAAAACTTTACAATATATTGTTGCCAATTGTTAAGATAAATATCTTTGCTTCTGTAATGTATCACAAAATATTGATCATTTAAGAGATATAAGTGAAAAACTTTTAGCCCCTTTGAGCTCCTTATTTTAGGGGTCAGCCCCTTTTCTTGATTTTAAATGAAAGATCTTGTAAAACTTCACAACTTTTCTTCAATATGTTTAAACAAATTATGAATAGATACGAAGATATGAAACAAAACGTGTCATATTTTGTGAGATATTTCTGAGACATATTTTTGGCTCTACCGAGCATCGGCGCCATTTGCGCTAGAAAGATTTGGACACCTGCCTGCAACTCAGCAAACCTACCTTTACTTTCACTGAAAATCTTGAGTCAATATCTTAAGTCGTTCCAGGACAAGCCGACCCCCTAAAAATAGGAAAATCGTCAATATCTCACGACCGGAAGTGACGTCATCAACGACTTAAATTTCCGACAAGGTTCAGATGAATATCTATCAGATCTGAAAGTTTGGAGAAAATCTGTCGAGCCATTCCCGAGAACTCGCGTGCACATAATCGGTAAGAAAAAAAAAAAAAAAACAATAATAGGGAAAAAGAAACCGAACGAAAACAATAAGGTCTTCCGTTGGAAACGGAATACCTTAATAAGAAACAGAGTAAAAACAATATGTTCCCCAACTTCGTTTGGGGAACATAATTACTACAGGATGATAAACAACTAATCACTAAAAACTAACATAACTAATGTTACAAGTTGAATATGGAAAGATAAGTATTAAATCATAACATGCACTATCTTGTATGAACAATTGTTTATTACCTGTCTAATACTTATGCGTAAAGTTATAAAAGAAAATATAGTTCAAGGAAGTTATATAAAGATGCGTTATATCTGCAGTATTGAAAACTGATCCTTTATTTATTTCTAGAATGTATTGACGGTAGCTATGATCAGAATTGTACAAGCCAATGCGGACAATGTCTACATGGATTCTGTGACAAGAAAAATGGCACCTGTCTTTCTGGATGTAAACAAAATTGGAAGGAACCTTTGTGTCAAGGTAAACAATCAAACATCATAAGCGACACTCTTTTCATAATTATTTTGTCAATCTTCTCGTCTATAATTTTGCACAAAAGTTAATCAGTTACTGGTCAATTGATTTTAGAGCTAAAGAGAGAGCTTGAATGTCATTCGTTTTATTTTCACACGAGATTTGTTATGGTACTTTGTATCTACATCACTCTGTGCATTGAGAAGGTAATATGTTCAGCTAGAACGTCCCTATTATTCAATATTTTTACATTCCTTGCAAGAACAACTTTTCAGACATCGTCCTTGTAGAACTGAAACCTATTTATTGTTTTAAAAAATTAAATACATGTATTCAATAAACGAACTATCAAACTTGAAATTGCCATCCAAAATAAAAAAAAGTCAATTATGTGATTTTTCCATTTACATTTAGATATTTACAGAGAGTTTAGGTAATACGATTTGAAAGCAATTTTATCTACATACGACAAAAAATATGTTTCTGTACCTTATATACATGTATACTGTACCGTTGGATGAACTGAGAGTAACTAAACAAACTCAACAAGTATGAACTGTCTACCAGTGCTTTGATATAAGGAAATGCCAAAGAAGTAATTTCTGTTTTGTGAAATGATTTGTGGTATTGTTTCAATCTGTAGTAAAATAATATACTTATTAGGTTTATACATGAATTTCTTTTACTTTTAGCTGGTAAATAATGAACATTAACACCCTTCCCCGCAGTCACGCATTTTAACGCATATACCATTTCCTATTTCTGACGCAAAATCACGCATTTACCGTTTCCCCGCAATCACGCATTTTCACGCACTTCAAAAAGTTCATCTTCTCTTCAATTTATTGCGAAATTCAAACCATTTTATACTTGCTTGAATCTCATAAAATGAGAAAAGTTATTTTCTAATTAAAATATTATTTCAGAATATTATTTACGCTAAACCTTAAAGAAATTTGTACCCCGCTATAAAGTGCTTGCGGGCAAATGGTAAAGTAATATTTCTATGACGCGAGGATTCAATGTATGTTGCATAGCGATTCTGTAAGTTGTAAAGAGTTAATCGATCAAAAATGTTTAAACTAATAACATTTGTCAAAAAGGACCCCTGAAATTCAAAGGTGGATATAGGTGCATAGGAGGAGTAAACATACCCTTTTGGTCAGTCAAACCCATTGATTGCACTATGTATTATTTAGAGAAAATGAAAATTCCGTAGTTAAATAAAATGTAAATCAGAGACTCACCAACTGATATGGAACAAATTTGCGACAATACCACACAATGACAATTTATATGCTACCAAGTTTAGAATCTTTAAATCAATCAAAGAATTTACAAAATGCTGACAAGATTGTTGAAGTTTCTGGGACATCAACTTATCTGTCATTATCTTGTTCGGTATAACATGACTGTCATCGGAGCATTATCGTAAGTAACTATTAAGTTTTGAGAACTTAAATATCAAATGCAGGTTTAAATTTTAACTGGATAATGCAACATAAATAGACAAAAGCTGACGATGAGTAAATAATTCATATTATCCCGTTTATGTTTGTTTTGTTGCTCAACACCCCTTTCAAAAAATGTTCACTCATATCGAGATGCGACCACTTGCAGGTGGAGAGATGAAAATGTTTGTATTATGCTTGGCACTAAGGGCTATTGAACAGTGAGGAGTCTTTTTTGTGCCAACACCTAAACTGATACACAGGACCTAGTTTTTTTCGGTTTCATCCGAAGATCCAACAGTGGAAGCCATTAATAGGCAATTCTAGAGCAGATGCTCAAACCACTGCACAACATGGACGACTCAGCTCCTTTATCATATAATTCAGTTGTTGTTTTGCTTTATATTCTAAAGTCCGTAAAATATCCAAGTATTAAACAAATTTTAAAGACTCTTTTAGTTTACTTTCAATTGGTGGATTGAATCGACATATTAGGGAAAGAACTTTATTTGTATACTGAAAATAAATTTAAATATATCTAAATTTCAACTTGAAATAAACAAGCGTTTTTTTCTCCGCTATAAAGTGAAGTCACAATTAGGCTACAGAGATTTTAGAAGAAACGTAACTAAATAGGACAGCGAGAAATTCAAATATTGAGTATATTTTTGATGCTTTCAGACATGGAAAATGTAAATATAAGGAATGTTTTTAAAGTTAGTTCGAATTATTGGTGTGTGAATGACACATACTTACACGAAGGCATATTTTTCATGAAGCGCGCTATAGCGCTTCATGAAAAATATGCCTACGTTCAAGTCTGTCTGATTCAAACACCAATAACTCAGATAAATCATTAAAATTTTCCTTTGATAAAACAAGTCAGATAATTAAGGAGTTTTCGGAATAATTGCAATTCCAACGTTTTGATGTCAGACCTGTTGTCAAGCCTTTATAGGCAGTCTCAAAAAGAAAAACCAATTTGCTTTTGATGGTAACTTCTTACCACTTGTGAGAAGAAAATCAGTGGTCATTTACAATGAATAGATAGTTACCAATCACAGGAAACATTTTTTTTTCAGAATGTGTTGACGGAAATTATGGCGAGAACTGCACGAGACAGTGTGGTAACTGTTTGGTAGGTGTTTGTGACAAAACAGATGGATCTTGCATGAGTGGATGTTCACCACACTGGCAAGAACCTTTGTGTCAAGGCAAGGTTTCTTTATTCTTGTCATACCTTGTTATATCATAACATAAACACACATTTACGGGAGTTGTTCGGAAACATCCTATACTTATGTCATATATTTTTTATTTGACGTCATATGTTATTCGAATTTTGTAGAAATATTTAAAAAATAAATTCAAATAATATGTAATAAAGGATTTAAAATATCAAGATTTATTTAAAAATTATCCAGATTTGAAAATGCAAAATCAGTCGCGGTACGAGTCAAATTTTACTAATTTGCAAACGATCAATGCATTAAATGATGTTTGTAGCCATACTGTAGATTCCTTATTTTTCGCGAATACTAATTATCGCGAATGGGCTCTTCAACGGCAAATCGCTAGAATAATAATTCGCGAATGGACGTTTGATCAAGAGTGTTTACATAGATTTCAGCACCATGAAAATAAAGGCGAGTAATTTTATTTCGCTTGTGGTGCTTATCGCGATAACTAATTCCACGCATATATTTAGACATCTACAGTTTTTTCCGTAACATGGAGCAAAAACATAAGAAACAAGATGTGTTTTTGAAACGCTGATGCCATCGTATGGCAACTTAGTTAATATTTAACTTTTCTTAAATGAAGATTTTATATATTGGTACCCAAAGTAGGGATTCATAACCGGAAATACAATTGTGAAACGTGAAAGCCCTATCACCATCTGTTCCCTACCGGTAGTTATGGCCAGATTAAAGTTTGCTCATAAGTACAGAATTCTTCAAAGTTAAAGTCAGAAGGTCAGGGTCATTGGTATTCAATAAAAGGTCTTGACACAAAGGATACATTAATGAAGATTGAAGCCCTTGTCTTAACCGTTCAAAAGTTTTGGCTAAGGTTAAAAAGATTGTCAAAGTAGGTCAAACTCCAAGATGAATGTCAGAGGTCAAGGTCATTGGTATTCAATGAAAGGTCTTGTCGCAAGGATTACATTAATGAAGTATAAAAGCCCTAGCCCTTATCGTTAAAAATTTGTTGCTAAGGTTAATGTTCTACATTAGTCCGGAAATCTGTAAGGTCAATGTCAAAAGGTCAAGGTTATTGGTGTTCAATGAAAGGTATTGCCACAAAAAATACATATATGTAGTACGGAAGCAATAGTTTTAACCCTTTAAAAGTTATTGCCAAAGTTAATGTTTTTTCATAGGTCCTGAAATCTCCAAGGTCAAGGTTATTGGCATCTAATAAACGGTCTTGCCACAAAGAATACATATGTGTAGTATGGAAGCCCTAGCTCCAACCATTCAAAAGTTATTGCGAAAGTTAAAGATTTTTATAAGTCCGGAAATCTCCTAGGACAAGATTAAAAGGTCAAAATTATTGGTATATTATAAACGGTCTTGCCACAAAAAATAAATGTGTGAAGAATGGAAGCCCTAACCCTAACCGTCATGGCCAATAATAGAAATGTTAAAAAGTAGGTCAAACTTTAAGACCAAGGTCGAAGGGTCAAATGTCAAAGGTCTTGATACGAAATGAAAGTTTTTTTCTACAAGGATTATGTATGGGAAGTATGAAAGCTCTAGCCTTTACCGTTGAAAAGTTGTTGCCGAGGTTTAGTTTTTTCATAAGTATGAAATTCTCCAAGGTCAAGAGGTCAAAGTTGGTGGTATCCAATGAAAAGTCTTGCCACAAAAAATATATATGCAATGTATAAATGTCCTGGTGTCTATTTTTCAAATGATATGGCCAAAGTAAAGGCTTGGAATTGATGTGTAAAAGTTGATAAAACTCCAAGGTCGAGGTAAAAAGGTCAAATTTTGTGGTACTTGAACAAAGGTCTTGTCACAAGTAATACACATATGAAATATAAAGACCATAGCTCCACTAAATGAAAATTTATGGGCAAGGTTAAAGTTTTTTCAGACAAACAGACAAGCAGAGATACAGACATACAGCTAGACAGAAAGACAGACAGACAGACAGCTAGACAGACAAACGGACGGACATGATAAAAAAATATATACCCCCGAAACCTCGTTTACGGGGGCAAAAAAAAATTTAAATGTTCAAATTCTGAATTGTTACATCGATTAATATTTAGAATTATTGCTTAATACTTTGCTTCGTCGTAAAGAATTCAACTTGAAAATATAGAAGATATTAGCAGTAAAACGACAAAAATTACGTTTAGGAACCTCATAGAGCAGTAGATAACGATCAATTTTGAGTTTTACGCCTGTTTAAATCCAGAAAAACTCTATTGATATTGGTTGAATAAAAATAAATATGCTACAAGAGAAACTTGCATGTGTGTGTAATTATTAAAGGCGGTATTAAAATAAAAGAAACTGATTTGGACGAAGACAATCTGTGAAAGTTTGACTGAAAAAATCTTAACATAAAGTTAGAGTGTAAAGGAATGACAAAAGATCTGATATTGTAAATATACAATTAAGCGATTAAAAAATATATGAAAGATTGACAAAGGTAACTTTACAACGTGAAAAATTGTTAAAACATTAAATTCTAAGTGATAGAAAAAGTTTTTCAATGGACGGAGATCGAATAATCCTGTGTGAAATGTATAGGGATTGTATTTTTGAGCTATTTTTAACGCTATGTTTTTTGTCGTTACATTGCCGTTTAGTGCCCTCCGAGGCAACGAAACATGTTTGTTATAAAATGACAGAATTTGATTTCTGATAAATCTAATGGCATGAAACTTTACACATCAACAAAAAAATATTTGTACACATTATGTGGTTATTTTAAACGTCTAAAAGATTGATTGATTGATTGTACGTTGTGTAACGTCCCTCTCGAGAATTTTTCGTCATATGGAGACGCCACCACTTGCCGGTGGAGAGGTGCAAATTATGTGCTTTATTTGGCACTCAGTGCCATTGAGCAGTGAGGGATCTTTTTCGTGCCAGCACCTACTGGGACCTCGGTTTATCAAAAACTGATATCGTCAACGCACTTTTCGAACAAATGTCGTTTGTAGTGTCTAAAATTTATTACAAGGTGTAAATATAGGATCGAATTCACAATTGACTATTTTGACATTTTAGTGATTTTTCTTTTCTTGTTCTTTTGCACCTGAAGTGTATTCCAATGCATTTCATTGTTACAAAGTACTGGGTCCTTATTTTTGTCCTATAAAGTTGAGAGGTCATATTCACTTAACAATATTAATATCTTTTTAGAATGTGTTGATGGGTTTTATGACAAGAATTGCAGTAAACGATGTGGACACTGTCTTGAAGGAGTTTGTGACAAGACTAATGGTACTTGCAAGGGTGGATGCTCATCAAACTGGTTGGAACCTTTGTGTCAAGGCAATTTTTTATTCCTTTTGTTTTTAACATTTGTTAATTACTGTGGTTTCATTGATATTCGTTTAGCACCATTTTTCGAGGATTTCGTTGTTGTTGAGCAGATCCACAAATTTAAATGTTCATTGCATTAAGAAATTTGTTATACATTTGTATAGGCAATGCTTTTATCCACGAAATTACGTATCCTCAAAAACGTCTTTTTTTCAAAATCCACGAAAATTTATGCCAAGGAAAATTAATGAAACCACATAATATGATCTCCAACGATAAGTTGCTGGTTATGATTTTTATTCACTAAGTTGTGTGATTTCGTCACAGAGTTCGCTGAATGGGCAGAGAGAAAACAGCAAAGATAGTCATATCCAACAATCATGTTCAACAACAAATCGTAGAAGATCATTTTTATCAAATGCTTTGTACAATATTTCAATTGATTTATACTGTTATTTTCATGATCCACGTAATTTTCACGCAAAACCTATTGGGACATGGACGCAGTTCGTTTAAACAAAACGTTTATTGAGTGTTATCTGAAGAATGAAAGCGGAAAATATGAAATAAATTTATTTACTTTACATAAAAAAGATGATGTTTTTAGTTGTTGTAGCATTGGAAATATACAATCATGCAGCGCATCAATGTCTTGATTTAAAATAAATACAGAAGTTTTCAAAAATATGCCTGTTTTATTTAACAATTTTTACTACATTTAAATCATTTAATTATTAAACATTACCTTGCTTCATCGAAGGTTTTTTTTCGATAAATTATACAAATAAGAGACAAAAATACGGAAAATATTAATTTGTATGGATGGATCCTTACTATTTTAGTAAATTTAATATATTTAGAGTGTATTGACGGATTTTATGACCAGAATTGTAGTACCACGTGTGGAAATTGTCGTAGAGGTTTCTGTGACAAGAAAAATGGAAGGTGTCTGAGTGGTTGCATGACAAACTGGGAAGAGCCTTTCTGTAAAGGTAGAGCTTTCAAAAGTATGAAATATATTTATCTATGTTGTGGACAGTACCAAAATAAAAAAGTATTCCTGGTGTACTGGAGTAGAAAAACATGTCCCCGACTGCGAAATCAATGAAATCTGGCTTACATTAAAAGTTAAACTGCCGTAATTACAGTACATAAAAATTATTAAAGTGGAACAGAATGCAAACTGGGAACGTAATTAATGCAGGCTAATTCACATACCGGAAATAACCTCAAAATGCATGTGTTTGAGAAAAAAAATTATTGGTAAAACCAGTTTCCTTTTTTAAAGAGATTATTCAGCCAAAAATTATTGTAGTAAAAAAAATTCTAGTTTATTCGATATCTCATTGGAATACATCTTGAAATATTTAGGAAAAAAAAAACAACAGGTCGTAGAACCAAGTGACATATTGATAGACAGACGGACAAACATATAACCAGACGAAGGGGAACGTAAAGTTTCCTTTCCCAAGTTAAACCGATTGAAGACTCAAAAGCTTCTAAAGGGTGTTGCAAAAGAAACATTTGTCCCTCAAGTGAAAGTACCATCGTGTGTTTTCATTAAATCTAATAATAATAAAACAGTATTTTCTATATATAAAGTAATGAACATGAAACATTACAAATACGATCTTACACCTTTGCTCTGCTCCTATGTTTTATTAGTTTATGGACTTTGATATTGAATACTTTTCGTTATATACTAATTGCTAAACCATAGAAAAAAATGAAAACTGATTCGATCAAAACGTTAAATAAAGCATAAGTTCATAAAAAAGAAATTGAACGATAGGAAAACTAGATCTGTACTAATAATCTACGAAGCTCATATCATTTGAGCTGTTACTGTAAGCGTAGTTTAAAATAATAATAGATTTATGTTTTTTATTTAAATACTAGTAGTTTTATGATCTTTTATGTCGTATTAAATAATGATTTAAATTTTCAAAAACTTATAGGAGTAAGGAAGCTTAAGAAAATATCATATGCACCACTTTTGCGCAGATATTGATGCTGAAAGTGCACATCAATGCAATGTATATCACATGTATTATAAAATAGTACATAAATTCAATTTAATTGGTATTTTACTGCTCAAATAAAAAGAAACCTAATATATTTGCAACTGCTATATTTCTTTCCTAAACCAACAAAGACAGAAGAAATTCTTTTTTACGAAAGAAAGATGATGACAGGTGATTTCTTTTTATTATTTTACCTTAAAAGAACATTAATATTGAATGTTTTAATTTGTCTATTTTCAGCATTAGCTGCAACACAAGAGGAGAATAAAGACGTTGTCATCATTGGAGGAACGGTTCCAGCTGTCTTAATTGCAGTGTTAGCTGGAGTTGTCCTGATAATAATTTACAGGTAAAGGTAAAAGTTCTTATTATCATTTTAAAACCTATTTTTATTTCATAAAACAATACCAAAGATGAGTTATGCACACAGTATTATTCTATAATATAATTAAATAGTGAATTTCAAAAAGTATGGTATGGAAATATTTAGATATTATTCAGTAGGGAAAATATCATTTTACTCTGTAATCCATATATCTTTTTAAATTATTATTCTCTCAATTGATTTATATTGATCTTCCAAGCATCATACATATTTCGGTTTTATAGACGGCTTAAAAACAAAGGTGGAAAAGAAGGTCTTGTGGAAAAGGATAAACATTTAGGTTTTAGTGGAAGAATGGCAGAGGGTAGAAGTAACGGGAAAGGTATACGTAAATTACTTTAGTGATGCTTACTTAACACAAAAATGTATTGTAATTATTTAATTGAAAAGAAGACCTTGTGTAGTTTTAAGGTTTTAATCTTACCAAGCGTTCAAATTTCTTAAGGGAAAACACTTGGATCTAAAACAAAACTTGTAAGATTTAAATGTTATTGAATTGCCGGAGTCTCTTTGTTATGTTTTGTCCCCTTGAGACTAAAACAAAGATATTTACTTTATGCATAAAATGGCCTTGTACTTATAACAATTGATAAACTATCATTTTATTTTCCATTTAATATCTCAAAATAAAGAGGAGACTTGACACTTTCATTTCCTATAAAAAAATTCTTTTTGAGAATCTGAGTTTTAGAAAACAAGCTTTGAGAAAATGCTACGTTCTTGAATATTGCAGAAGTCAATACGTATTTGACAACATTCAGCAAAGTATTCAAATATGAGTTCAGACCATGATCCAAAAATTAAAACGTTTTCAATCTTCAGAAACAAATGTTTCATTATGAAGTTGCATATTTTGGATCAGAGTTTGTGCTGTATATGAGATTTTGAAAAAAATACTAAAATTTTAGGCCATTTTCAAAAGAAATTCACAGGATATGGGAAAATGACGCATTTTGGCGTCATAATGCATTAACTAGATGGAAAATCACGTCATGTTCAGTAGATACATGGTCACCATCAATCCAAATAATGAATACTGTATTTTCATTCTAAACTGAGCAGCTTGATTTTTTAGACTTTCTCAGGGCCAAAAAAGCCATAAGTGGCTCTTTCTCTTTGTTTGGTGAAAAAACGGTATAAAACATACTTTACTTTTTTCTTCAGACAACGAAACAGAGTTTTTTGATGGAGTAGGAAATCCTAGAACGGATCAAACAGATGAAAATGGATATTACAATACAGTCCAATTTATTACAAATATAAATATAGAAGATCTAGGGAGCGTTATTAACGAAAAGAACAGAGGAGAAAATAGCCAATTCCGTCAAGAATACAAGGTAAAGGCAACTGATTATTTTTATCAATGCAAATTTATTTTCAGTTGTTAGACAAATACATATCATTTTGTAATACACAAAGTCAGGCTTAGATAAAATATGTTTAAAGATTGATTATTGCTGCTGAAAAAATATGACAATAACACGGAAGTTATTACTTTATAAAAGAGACTTCCTCCTGCCAACCTAAGCGTTTGTCAAAGTGCAACAAAGACGGAAAACAAAGCGAAGAACCGGTTCAAAACAACATTTCCATGTAAGACGATTATCGCATTATATCATAGTTACATGTACATGTACATCTGTTGCATTTAAAAAAAAAAAACAAAAAAAAAAAACATTATTCTTTATTATCTAAGTATCTCATAATTAATTTGATCTTTCATTAATCTTAAATTTGATTGAAATATTTGTACAATTTTTTTTTAAATGTGGGATATCCTATCAATTAAATATATTGATCAAAAACGTAACATTTCAAGTGCTTTCTTAAACATATTTATTTTAATGTAGATATAATAAATAAAATATCTTTCAATTTGTTAATAAAATGATTAACGGATGCAAATATCTCTAACAGATTTTTTTCTGTAGTAAATTGTGTTTTCTTTAGTTCATTTATTTTAGTATTATTAAACGAAAGTCGCATTGGTTTACTTTAAATAGAAAATATACGCTGTATATATATTTCAGATGAGCATTCCAGGATCATTCTCAAAGAGACGTGGACAGATAATGACAATGATTATATCAACGCTAACTTTATATCGGTATAATAAAATGTATAGCTATGAACGGTACATGTATGTACAAAAACATATTTTCTTATATCCCACACAGAAGAGTTACACTTTTTTCAAAATATATTTCAATGGATATATAATTAATAAAATTTGATTGCGTAAAATGTAAAATGTAAAACGATACTCTTGAAGATACTGTAATTTCGAAATAAGAAAACGTTGTACAATTTTATTTCAGAAATTTTTCAAAACAATCAGTGAACAGTTAACTTGCATTTTTACAATTTACACCAAACAAATTGGATATACCGAAGGTTAAAATTTTAAAGAATATTTCACTTTAATTTCCATTTGCAATTATTTTGTGATCCGTTAATAAGAAAAAAATCAGTCGTCTAATTTCAAATTATATCCATGTGAATGGGTTTGTATTATTCATTCTAAAGATTGTCTATTGATTGTTTGTCACAATCTACATGTAAAACTTTTTTTTAAATTGGGAATTGAATTTTTTGTAGGACTGCAAGGGAGAGAATCGATATATTGCAGCTCAGGGTATGACGATGTCACTAATGTCATTGATAATTGATTGGCAAACAATACATCATTGCGGAATTTGTATTTTATTCGGACCTTCAATAAAAAGAAAATTAATCTTTATCTCGAAATTATCTAATTAGACTAGATTTGAATTATTAAGCTATGGAATATTTTTGAATATAATTTTGATGGCGAAAACATTACATCATTGCAGAAAGTGTATTCTATTTAGATCACTTGTAACCAGAAAAATAATTTTAATACAAAATTCTTTAATAAGACTTATTAAATTTCTATAGCTACAGGATATTTTTTTGATATAATTTGAGAAAGAAATCCTTAATCTTACATTGAATATGTTTACAGGGCCTAGAGACAACACATTAAGAGATTTTTGGAGAATGATTTGGCAAGAAGATATCAAAGATATTGTTATGTTGACAAACATAGTCGAAAATGGAAAGGTAGCAAAAAGCAATAATATAATAAGATTTACAGATTAATACATATTCATATTCATTGGTTTATTAATATTGTACATTTATTTCATTTTTATATGTTTTCATATGAACATTTCAGAACAAGTGCACACAATACTGGCCAGATAAGGGGAAATCAATGCAGATTGGTCTCTGTAATATATCTCTGCGGGAAGAAACAGTGTACGCCTTCCATACATTGCGAAAACTTTCGGTGGAAAGAAAAGAGGTAAGCATTTAGCATATTTACAAAACCTCATATCTTTATATTCTAATCATGTTTTTTATCTTTTTTTCTGGTAATGAACATTAAATGAAGAAATACCTTGAAATAATATGAGAATTCAATAGAAAAATTCACACACAACATCAAGATTAATGATTCTAGTTAGAATATTATCATTATAAATGTCATTCCTGTATACAAAAGCCCCCTAGCAAGAGAATCATCACACAGTTCCACTACACCGCCTGGCCAGACCATGGTACACCACAGGAGGTAGAACTTGTCCAGTTCCATAGATTTGTATCAAGGAGAATACATACGGATGTTCCACTACTAGTGCATTGCAGGTTTGTCAATTTTACAAAAAATACACCATTTATTTGGCTGAGACTGCATTAACCAAGATCCCTTATCCCAGAAGGTGTTGATATATAAAAAAACTCTCTCTACTCAAGGACTCTGCATGCCGAGTTATAATATTAATTATAGCCTTCCATTTGCGGTATCTCCGTATAGTGAAACGTACTCGAAGGACGTTAAACGGCAAAGAAACCAGACATCTAAATTCGTAAAAAAAAATGTACACCGCCATCAATGTATTTGTTTTTCATTTAGCTAATTTTGTATATATTTTATAAGAGTAAACAGATGATAAAAACAGAAAAAGATGGAATTTAACACAATATTTATAAAAGAGACTCTATCAAAAGAGAAACAAAAAAAACGTAAATATAGGCTCTTTAAACTAAATTATGTTTTAATGATAAAGATTGTAGTAGGCGATGCCAGAAACCTGAGGGATACCAAATAAGTAGTGATGTAAATAAAAACAAACCTCCTCTAGATTATTTGACTGTATCTGATACTTTCTGCTATGTAAATATCTGTAAGACGTTATTTTTTGTTGCAGATACCAAAAACAATTCAATATACAACCTCTACAACTTTTTTATGTATGGAATTTAAATGATAAATAAATTACTTAAATGTATGAGGCAACAACAAGCCTCTAATTCAAGTAGCCGACGAGATGTCGAAACTATATGCATGGTTTGTAAGAATATAATGTTTTTTAACCATAGCTATAGTTGTTCATACATGTATCAATTGTATTATCCTTCAAAATTTTTTTTCTGCATTTACCACAGCAGCCTTTACAATTAAAGCGTAGATCATCTTCTATACTAGTCAAAATTTCTAAGTCCCCAGGCAAGTTTTTGCTTTACACCGTTCTTATATTGAATTTTTTTTAACAGTATAATCTAATAAGTATACTAGATCAAAAAAGGAGTAAAACAACTTGTCTCACTTAATTTATTCTATTGAAACACTTTAACACAATATGCAGAAATGTTAAGACACCCTAGAATTAAAAATTCACAACGTTAAATACTGCATTATCCTCCATTCAAACGAATTCATAGCAAGACATCCGTTCCTCAAAGACGTCTGACTATTTAAGAAAAAAATTTTCATTGAATCATTTTCTATGTAGAGACTAGTTCGTCCTCTAGTTCCGCTATATTCTGCTGCTGAAAAAAATGTCTAACACTCCGGTCTATCTTCTTCAATACATGTTAGTTAGAGATGAGATTAGGATGACAATGGGGCTTTCTGAAAGTATCTGTGCCTTGACGACAATAGTTACATAATGACTCATTATATGTACTCCCCACTCCTCCAGTTTGACATTGAGGGGAGGGCACTTCCGGTTCCGGTTTCATTGATTTTTCCGGATAAACTCTAGGGTGATTTTGTGGTGTTTGTTGAAAATCTAGCGATTTCTAGTTATGCTTTGTAATTTTTTCTGGTGGTAATTATAAAGGTTTTAAGTAAAATAAAGTCATACAGTGAAAGGAAACAGAACTCTCGTAACCTACGACCAGTTTGGGCCATTTCAACTTCACTTGCACATTGTTGTGTGGACGTACACCGCATTTTAATCAAACTTTTCTCTGTTTTTCGTTATCAAATAACGATGGAGAACATGTGGAAGTAAAAGATAAACAATACACCCGAAAAAAATATGGAACTTGAACTTCTTGCTTTTTAACAAAAAACCGTCACGGTCGAGTAATTACACATTCAATTACAATTTTTTTGGCCTTAACAGGAAAGTATTGAGAATTAAAAGCAAATATATTAGCAATTAGTAAATTGATGTTATGGTTTTTAACTTTTTGAAAATATAAAAGTGGGAACTTAGAAATTTTGACAAGTATACATATCAGGCCCCCAGACCATAAACGGAAAACAGACTTGAGTCAAAATCCCAATCAAATATAACTTTTGAAATAATTTTGATAATGGTACAAACATTTAAAAAATATATTTGCATTAAAATGGCATTTACAATTGCAAAATTTTAAGCAAAAATGTTCAATGTATTAAACATGAAAATTTTTAAGTCTATTCTCAGTTTTTGGTCTTGGGGATCATTTATTTGGTCTTACTTTATCAAGTCGTACAAATGTGTTTCGTCCTAACTTTCAGCGCCGGTGTCGGTCGTACGGGGACATTTATTGGACTTGATTCTCTCCTGACTCAGGGAAGAGAAACTGGGCGGATCAACGTTTTCGAGTTCGTCAAACAAATGCGAGAGAGTAGAATGACAATGGTTCAAACGCCGGTAAGACATTGCTTATTTTGAATAATAGACACACTTGATTGATAAAGCTTCATATACCTTCGTAACAGTATTGTCACATCGTAACACTCTTGTTTACTTTTTCCCAGTAAATAAAACGCAATTGCTCAAGCAATTCTTTATAATATATAGAATATTAGAATTGTAAATATTTTCAATTTTCCTGACGTATCATCAGATGTAAATACAATGAACTGATATTTAAGATATTTTTTGTCGACATACATCATGAGAAATCAGCATTTTTTTTGGGGGGGGGGTGCTCTGACAAGGATTTTCTGGACAAACATTCATAGATCTTGTTAAAAGAATGAAGACAGCAAGGCGTCATCGAATAAATATTTTGTGCATGAGGGAAATGAAATTTAAACAGAGGAAACACACAACACCAGTTTATTATGTTACTGTTTTTGCTTCGTATTATAAAGGGAAGATATTTAGGTAAAAAAGAATACTTCAGAAAATTTCTACTAAAAAATACATGTATCTAATTCTTTCAGGAGCAATATGTTTTCATGCATGAAGCACTAAACTGTGGATTCCAGGGCGACTTCCTTTTTTCAAGAGATGAATTTTCAACAAAATCGGAAGCATTGCTGAATGACAAGGCACCCTTAAATCAAAGAGCACTTTACAAAGAATTTAAGGTATAATATATAGAGAATATTGCATACTAAAATCCATATCATATGTCATATCAGCCCGAGTGGCCCCATATCAGCCCGAGGGCCGGAGGCCCGAGGGCTGATATGGGGTCCGAGGGCTGATGTGACATATGATATGGATTTTAGTATGTAGTATTCTATTTATCATATATTTAAAACACTTAATATGCAAGTTCACATATGGTCATTGATGAATATTTCGTGCTTGTTTGTGACATTTCTCTCTAAAATCTAATAAAGCCTATTTTAGGTAGCTGAAAAAAATTAAGGCCATAAATGTCATTAAAGAAAGATTTATTATGAATATTAAAATAAAATCAAGTAAATTAACTTTTAAACGTTATACAAACGTTACTTCCGGTTTGATATGGATTTTCGGCCCGCCGGTCCGATACGTGATATGGCTTTTCGGACCGGTCCGTGATATGGGGTATTGTGACGTCACCCGTATCACACCGTGCAGAATCGGTGTATTTACTACTAAGTATATGATAAGATCATTTATAATCGCTGTTTAGCGCTTTAATTCTAAAATTTCTGTGTAATTTTTTTTCATGGAATTTATTTTCTTTTTCTAGTTTTTGGAAACATTGAAATCCAACTTCAACTGTTTGGCGAACGAGGTCGCTACAAGTGTAGAAAACGCCAATAAGAACTACAGTAAAGACATACTACCTGGTATGATATATTGTTTAAAAGACATCAGTTTACAATCTATATTCATATTACGTCTAGATACGTTAATTTGAGCCTTTGCTATATAATTCATAAGCAACAGCATTTTTGCTTTTAGTTTTTAAAAACATTAAAAGAATCATATCTTTATTTTAAGTTTCAAAGTTCCGACCGTACCTTACCATGTATGTGAAAGGAAGGAATGATTATATCAATGCAGTAATGGTTGCAGTACGTATTTTTCAATAGAAAGTTATTATCTATATGAAAAAAAAGTGTGTAAATCGGAATTCGATAAAAATTCTGGTTTTATTCTGTTGCTTTACATTCCAGTCTTATAAAAACCCAACCGGATTAATTATAACCCAAAAACCTCTACCAGACACTGCGGTGGATCTGTGGAGATTGTGCTTTGATCACGAAATGGATGCCTTAGTGGTCCTTAATTCCACGAATGAGGTATAACACTGACGCTATCTAGATATATTTAGGTTTCATGCAAATTTTGTCCTTTACTGCTCCTATTTTGTATTGTTTTATGGACTTTGATATTGAATATTGGGGAAGTTTCTAGTATGCCGGTCCCCAGAATCACGCGATTGCGCATGAGCAGTTATTTCCCTTGCCGTTGCTATGCAGAATATAAACAAACCGCAATTTCCCACTCGCTTCAACAAAACGCATCCGATCGAGTGATTAGGGTTAGGTTATATAGGCCTAGTTTTCAAAATTGGGGTTGTTTTATAAATCCACTCTGTAGGCTAATCTTTCTGACTTTGGGCTAATTTATGTTTGCTTACAAAAGGCACTACTATGAGTGTCTTTAGTGACCAAAAACTTGCATGAATCAGCCTGTCGAATCGTGCCGATATCTTACACTTTGGTTTAGTTCATGAAATTTTTGCTTTACAAAGAACAGGAAAGTTTAAGAAATGAAAGTTCGAGTAAATCAACTCTATTGTCGAAACATGACGATTTTTCAGCGCTGAGTTTAGGCAATTTAAGTTATTGTAAAAGCGACTTACCGTTAACTGCAGCTCGATATCCTTACCTCCTAATCATGTCCAAATATTCAGAATATTTTTCCTTTCAAATCGATAATGATGCACAATTTAATCCATCGATGATTAGTAATTAGCTGACATTTGTTAAATCCCTGTATTTCTCACAAAAATCACGCAGTTTTAATAGCATTGCACTTTGAGTCCTATCAGGCATTTCTTCATTACGTCAAAACACAAGTGACGCATCTCATGAATATTTATGAGATTACGTCAAAAATTGATCATGTGACTACATTCCTAAACAACGCAAGATGGAGATTTACTTCCTAAACAAGTACGTTATTTTACGAAATCTTTTAATTCTCATATAAAATACTGTGTTTAAAAACCAGTTTTTTAAAGCCAATTTTTCACAAGGAACACGAATTTGGGGTCAAATTTGCAATTTGTGGCTTCTTTTTCGATTTTGTTGATCGCTCACGCGATCGTCTATATATTGTACACCGCCTTCGGTGGCACCTATTTTAGCGCCATATTTATGGGGACTGGTATACTAGAAGTGTTCCGAATATTGTTTGTTATCACCATATTCCTCACGTAAAAATTCAAACTTCCTTACAAGATAATAACTTCTGTATACACTGAATGGATTTAAAGCTTCCTTCGGTACTCCTGAAAGCACTTTAATATTG